AAAAATTTTGCCAAGAAAAACTGCAGGGTCTAGTCCAGTTAGTCACCAGGAGTCAGCACTGACTCGAAGGTACAAAAAATAATAAAACAAAACAAAATAAAATACAATGAAACATCTGTAAAATAGCAAAACCTGAACACCTTGTCCTAGGCAAATCTAAATGAAAGTGGATAAACAAATATTTTTTTTCTATTTATGAAAAGGCAGATATATATCTCCATATCTGTTATTTCTAGAAATCAAAGCAGTCTATATTCTAATAAATTTATTTCAGTGAAGCCTCTGCCTGGGTAAATCAGGCAAAGCTACACAAAGTTTGCAGTCCAGCTTCTATAAGGAAGGTCAAGTTGTTTTCTTGGTGGAATTATTACATATGCCAGGTTATAATAATGATGAAAATATATAAGAGGTGCTTCAGAAAATAACTGAAAAAGAAGGCATGCATGCCAACACAGATGACTAAAGGAAGATTTCTAAGTAAGAAGTAAAATGAAAATCCCCTACAAGGGGCAAATCTATTTATGTGGTTGCTAGGAGTTGACAACAACTTTATGGCACATGATCAATCAATCAGTCTACAAGAAGCATGAGGAAAAAGTAGAAAAGAAAGGGGAATCTGGAAAAAACAATCTATTAATACAATCAGAAAGGAGTATTCCTCATTTGATTCTGCCATCTCAATTAATCATACTTTGGTGAAAGAAGATTAATTGACATGGGAAAATAATATAAAAGAAAGTTGCTACTCTCCATTGCTACACAGAACCACATTGGGGGATATCAAGTAGAGTTCTGTTTCACATGTCAGGGGACAGATGTCTGTATGCTGCCCTAATGTGGAAGACTTTGACATAGCGTAATATGTAAACTATTATCATTTAGGAAGGTGTGCAATCCAAACCGCTATAGCTTGTTCGATGAATCATCGTTTAAAAATCCACGTGTTAGCATTACTTGTGAATGAAGCCAGGATTTGGCCTTGAAACCATTGCATATGTCATGTTTTCTTTGGATCTTTTTGTCTGCAATTGCCCTCTCTCCCCACCCCCTGGGTAAATCTGGAGTTGATTTGTTCTAGATGAAATGAAATGAAAGCTGAGCTAATGAGTTGGACAGAAGACGCTGTCCGTAGAAAGCAGGCATAGTGCCAACAGCGTAGTCTGGATGCCTCTTCGTATGACAAGTCACTCTCACTCTTTCGGGGCAGTAAAGTTAAAAGATTATTATCTTGTTCTCTTTCACTGTGTCTTCACGTGGCGAGAACTGCTGTTATCATTCGGGGAGGTTCTAATGAGAGTTTGCTCCTCATTTTGTAAATGCTAACTCTGGCCACTTACGATTTTAGGACTTGCATATTTTAAGGTGGTTTTAACCGTCTTATTTTGATGCTTTGTGTTTAATCGCTTTTGCTTGACTGTCCCTGAATGTAAAGATGGGATATAAAATTCAATTAAAGAGTAAGTAAAATGAGGCATTTTTACATGATACAGTCACTGTGTGAAACTGATACGATATAATTAAAGTGTAAAGTCGATTTTGAAAACGTGTATATAAAAGAAGAGAAACTTCAGCAATCCTGGGGTATTTTAAAATGTAATGATCACTCTTCATTGCTCCACTTACAAATACAGGCTGAGCTTTAATAATGTAAACAGAACTTGGTTGTTTTCTTGCAATACAAATATTATTTTCTTAGGGATGATTTTGAGAGAGTTGCTTATCCTTCAGATATTGCTAGACTTCATTTCCCCTCCATCTCATCATCACCCAGGATGATTTCTATTGCGGTATATTTTTCTTGCTAAAGCAAGGAAAGGAAAGAGGGAAATTTGATTGAAAATGGTTTTCTGCATACTTCTCCATATATTGCTTAAAATATTTCATACATTTCCAATAATTAATAAATCATTAATGTGTTTGTCTTTTGTGTCAGCGTAATGCCTAGACATTGCAAAGATTGTATGTAAACAAGCCATGTTTTAGAAATAATATTAACAGTGATTATCAGATTACTCTGTTGTAAACAACATGTTTTTAAGAAGTGTATTTTAAAAAGTGAGCTTTTCAAGGCAGCGACAGTAAGACAGTTGATCACATTTTTCACTGATATGGATTGCATAACTGTGCTACTGTTTACTGTACTTTATTGAGACTCAGAAGGTTGAAGGTGATTTGAAATAATAATGTCTGACAGGCCTTTCAAAGTAGTTTTCTTTTAAAAACACAGTTCTTTGCATCTGAGAACATGCAGCTCATCCTACAATTGGAATTGAATTATTTTTCTTTTCTTCTTCTTCCACCTGTACAAGGGAAAGGCAAAGTTGAAGTGTTATGAAATATACTTTAGGCTTGTATAGAGAATACTGAACTTTTCCAGGTTTTTCCTTCTCAGGGTTTATGGAAATTAATTGATATAATAATTGTTCAATTTTAGCACACCCACCATTTTGTAACATTATTTCTATTTTCTAATATTTAAGATTTTGCCCAGTTATAAAGTTTTGGGTCTTTTCTTCACAAACCACAAACTAATGAAGAAAATATATCACAGTTAAATGGTATCAGTTTCATCTATTGATTTAAAAAAGAAATCAGTGGAAAAGAAATATATGAAGAAATGTACATTTGTCACTGTATTGTTCTCTGTTGACATTTCTTATAAATAAGATGCCAGAAGTGCTGAAAATTAGTGCTGTCTGAATATGCCTTAATTCTCTAATATATTTTACTCTAATATCTGAATATAATACTAGTAGTGGTAATAATAATAGTGATAGTGGGAGAAAGCATTCGGCTAAAATACTTTTGTTACTTTATGTAAATGTCAGTTTAAAGCCAACATTATTTTGGAGGGGGGCGATGGAGCTTGAAATTTTGTCTGGGCACAACAGAGGCATTTTGTAAACTGATAGTATCACAGGCAACAAATTATAATGTTCTATTGATAATTGGTGGTTATTTGTTGATGCTTCTATTATCTGGCCAAAATTCATAAGAGTAATAAAAGCTTGTGATTGTTAAGATTAAATTGTTTGTTTTATTGTGTAACAAGTATTTTAATGCTGCCTTTTACAACTTAAAGACTCTTAATTTTGTTCTCCATTCTTTTTTTCTTTCTTTTTTTAAAGGATATAATTAGTAAATTGGCTTTCCTACTAAAATATTACTTGTTAGAAAACAAACAAATGGCATTGTTTTTCCAAAGATGTTCATATAATCTTGTAGCTACAACTTGCAGAAAAGTTTTGCAGTAATCTTTTCTTCTGATAAATTGGTAATGCGTATGCAGTTACAGGACTGATTCTTATTACATAGGCTGGCTGCATACAGGGGTTACACTAAACTATGATTTAGAGTTTAAAAAATGAGCTATAGTGAGCCTCAGGGAAGAGATTGTGCTTTTCTTTACTGTTTTAGGTTATGTTTTAAATGAACTGCATTTTTTACTTGCTCTGTTTATTAAGCGTATAGAAAGGCAAAAGGATGAAAGGAGAGAGAGATCCAGCCATAATTACAATTGGGGCCATAATCATCGTTAGCTGCAACTTTGATGGAGTTGTTGTGGCTTAGGACATAGATTGAAACCCTGGGCAGCTGGTTGATTCTGTCTCTACAATCATATGTTGGAGTAATGGTGGGTAGAACAAAAGTCTTGGGCCCAATTCAGTATAGAACAATAGCATAGGTCAGTGTTGTCCAAACTTGCCCACTTTAAGATGAATGGACTTCAACTCCCAGAATTCCCCAGCCAGCTGGCTGGGGAATTC